TCATAGCTTTGGGGAAACCTGAAAACCATGTTTTCAAAAGCGTGATCTGAATTACGATTGCATTCTCTCCTTCCTCTTTTGCTTTAGCAACAGATACTTGAGCTAAGACAAGCCCAGCACTTCTGAAATATACAGAAACATCAGGATGGTTAAAGGAAAGGCCATGGAATGGTTGGATAAGGATGTGTAAAGAGAAGCCAGTATAAAATAATGCAAAAGAAATCGAGTGTAACACAGAAGAAGCAAAATCAGTTATTAGAGAAGGGCTAATTCATTTGGTGTGGGCAACTATGGCCCTTCCGATATTGTAGGATTGTAACTCCAGTCATCCCTAGCTAACACAGTCAATGTTGAGGGACTGATGAAAGATTGGTTTCAGTTCAAAAACATCGGGACAGTGGCCAACCCTGTGATAAAGAATAGGGACAGCTGACAGAAAAAAACACAGAGATATGGATGTGGTGGGCAATAAACAAAACAACAAGGGAAACAGAAGTATACACCAGGCTTTAGCTAGACCAGTGTTTCTCAAGCTGGGGATTGGGACCCCTGAGGGGGTCGCCAAAGACCATCAGAAAACACAGTATTTTCTGTTAGACATTGGGGTTCTGTGTGGGAAGTTTGACCCAATTCTATCATTTGTGGGGTTCAGAATGCTCTTTGATTGTAGGTGAAATATAAATCCCAGTAACTACAACTCCCAAAAGTCAAGGTCTATTTTCTCCAAACTCCACCAGTGTTCACGTTTGGGCATATTGAGTATTCATGCCAAGTTTGGTTCAGATCTATCATTGTGAGTCTGCAGTGCTCTCTGGATGTAGGTGAACTACAACTGCAAAACTCATGATCAATGCTCACCAAACCCTTCCAGTATTTTCTGTTGGGCATGGGAGTTCTTGGTGCCAAGTTTGGTTCAATTTCATCATTGGTGTAGTTCAAAACGCTCTCTGATTGCAGGTTAACTATAAATCCCAGCAACTATAACTCCCAAATGACAAAATCAATCCCGCCCCCAACCCCACCAGTATTCAAATTTGGACGTATTTCGTATTTGTGCCAAATTTGGTCTGGTGAATGAAAATTCATCCTGCATATCATATATTTACATTACGATTCTTAACAGTAGCAAAATTACAGTTATGAAGTAGCAACAAAAATAATTTTATGGTTGGGGGTCACCACAATATGGGGAACTGTATTAAGGGGTCACAGCATTAAAAGGTTGAGAACCACTGAGCTAGACTGTATTTAAGAGTTAATCCTTTTCTGTTCATGATATCTAAAGCATAATCCTACCAATGCATCCATATTAAAATAAATCAAATGCAAACAATTCATTAATGGTTCTGTCAGTAACTTGAAATGCCATTATGACTCAGGTTCTGAGACCATAGCAATATAGTTAAGTTTGTAAGATAGAAAGACTCTACATGTTGCACTAGAGCCCTGATACACCTTTTCACCACAAGCCACACTCTGTCCAGGTAATCCAGTATGATTATATAAAATCCAGTAAGAGTATATAAAAATAAGCATTTCTGAAAATAATAATCAGACTTCAAAAAGTTATTTACAAGGCAGTCAACATTTCAAATACAGTCTCAAGAGTCAATCCACAGATATTTCCATAAACATGATAGCATGAATCCAAGGCAGGCAACCTATGCCACACATGAATCCAAAAACGTAGGACCAGGAACAGAGAACTGTTCACCTGAATACAATGTTGCTCTCACAAAGGATTATACTAGCAGAAATCCACTTAAAAGGCCTCAATCCCTCCCATAACATCATTCCTCACACACCTGCCTTATCTCTGAGCCGCTAGGAAAAGCGAGTCTATCTCTGTTGTATGTTCGGTCTGCGAAGTTCTAAGCCCCTTGATCTGGACAAACATTTGTCGCCTACATTTCTCTCAGTCTGCACTTCTGGCAAATTCTCATGAGATATTGCTTTCTCTAGTCTCATGGGAACTGCCAGGAGATTTCAAAACAACTATCTCCAGGCCACATCTATCCTCCTCTGGGCCCTCTGAATCTATCCCAGCACCCCCTTCCTCATCTTCTGAGCCCTCTGAATCTGACCAGGCTACACTACTGCAAATGGCTGCAGAGATTTAAACCACATCAGTATAATTCCTTGAAAAAAAATAATTTAATGTTGGTACCTCAGCACATTTTACTGCCTAAATGGAAAGTCAAAATGGTCACCACTAACTCTGCATTCACCTCTTAAATCTAACTTCAGCATTATGGGATAATATCTCCTAATGCCACTAAAGACAGCAAGTTAGGAACTCTTTGTCCACTAATGGGGCAAAATACCAGGAGACTGGATGAATGGTTGGAGAGCTCTCACGTTTGCTTCCCAGTGTCTACAATTGGTTCACTCAACCTTATGATAGAGCACAGTCTGTTGAAATTGTCATTACCACATTGGGGAGGGAGCCTCTTCAAAACAATAACTTGCCATGCAGAGACACCCTCTTGAGTTCTGCTTTACATTGCAACTACAGCATTGCAGTGAACATACACATTTGACCAAAGATATCTAAATGTGCAGATCTGTTGCTAGAAATACAAATAGCTAATTACTGCAAGTGTGTAAAAAATTAATCAAGCTATGTATCTCCCAAACGAATGTCAAATACAGGATATTAATAGTCAAGACAGACCAAAATGTCAATTCAACTGCAAAACAACTGCAGAGGAAAATAAGAGAAAGCACATCAATTTCACCAAAACAGTTAAAATCATAGATTGTTTACAAACAGGAAGTTGAAAATTCAAATATTTATAAAATTCTGCAATAACAATATATTAAATAGACTTCATATTTCAAAAACCAGCTACATCCCACCCCCACTTGAAACCAATGATGCTTCAAATGACGCAATTTCCAAAAGGCTTGCAAAACTTTTACTGGTAGGCTGGGAAAAAGGAAACAATAGAGATTACCACTTAGCAGGCTTCTGTACATCTCAAAACAGAGTTGTACACCACCAATCCTGCTTTCTGAGCCATGAAGCAGTGGGCTTTTTAAATCTGAGGGTGTTCTAATTTCATTCATGTGGAAACGAGAGAAATAGACATAGGTGGGGCTTGGAACAAACCTGCAAAATGGGATGGGCCTGTTTATTTTCCTAATCAGCCATATTTTACACTCTATACCACTTCATATCATCTCACCTGTTTCTAACACTTGCCACAAACCCTCAACACTGATGAATACTAAAAACGGTTTAAGAAATGTACTGCTAAAGGGTTAAAAAATTATAGTACAAAATTAAAACTCTGAAGTATTTGCATTCTCTGCTGCAACCTGAGGAACATGGCCTATTGGCCTAGCCATGAAGTTTATTAAAGACTAGCCTGCCACACGTTGCTGTGGCTCAGTCTGTGTATATGTGCATTGTGTGTGTATATGCGTGCGTATACATTTGTGTATATGTGTTTGCGTATATATATGTGGTTTTGCGCATGCGTTGTAATGGGTTTTTTTGTTTGTTTGTTTTTAAGTCCCTTCTGCAGTGTTTTTCAGTGTTTTTATGAGTGATGGTCACTCATTGGCCTGACAGGTGTATTGTGTCCAAATTTGGTGTCAATTCGTCCAGCGATTTTTGAGTTATGCTAATCCCACAAACTAACATTTGTGGTTTACCTATCTGAATGTATTCTCTCCTATGAACCATCAAGACAATTAAGATCTTCTGGTGGGGCCCTGCTCTCAGTCCCGCCACTTTCGCAATCGCGTCTGGCAGGAACAAGAGACATGACCTTTTCTGTGGTGGCGCCTTGGCTATGGAACTCTCTCCCAATTGAGATCAGATCTGCCCCCTCCCTCCTGTCTTTCATCTGGCTATGGAAGGAAGCATTACGGTTCCAGCCCAAGATACCTTTCCGAACGCATCTCTGCCTATGAACCCACCAGGACTTTGAGATCTTCCGGGGAGGCCCTGCTCTCAATCCCGCCGGCTTCTCAAGCACGGTTGGCGGGGACGAGAGATAGGGCCTTCTCGGTGGTGGCCCCTCGGCTGTGGAACGCCCTTCCCATGGACATTAGATCTCTCATGGTATTCCGTAAAAAACTGAAGACCTGGCTGTGTGTGCAGGCGTTCGAATAACTAGTACAATGATTGGTAATGAACATAGGAATGAACAATGGATGACGAATCTGGATTATGTTTTTGACGATGAGACGATTGGGTTTGGTTATGGTAGTAATTGTTTACTGAGCGTGTGATATGTTAAGTTGTTAATTGTTGTTATATGTTGCATTGAATTATTGCTGTTTTACTGACTGTGAACCGCTGTGAGTCGCCTTCGGGCTGAGAACAGCGGTATAGAAGCAAAGTAAATAAATAAATAAATAAATAAATAAATAAATTCCCAGAGTAATGGTTGAGACCGGCTACGGAACAAAGTTATCGACCACACATACGGACTGAGTTGGACATGATTTTATCTTGGCGATTTGGCTTATTTGTAATTTTAATCTATATGTATTTTAACCTGTTGTTATTGTATGATGTTTTTAAACTGTACTATTAGCATTGAATCCTTTCTGTGAGCCAGTCTGAGTTACTCTACGAAGGTTAGAGAAGATTGGGATATAAAAGTTCCAAATAAATAAATAACATTACATTTTTATTTATATAGACCAGCTGTCCCCTGCCATGCATTGTTGTGGCCCAGTTTGGGTATATGTGTTTTGTGTGTATATATATTTGTGTATATGTGATTTTGCGCATGCGTTGTAATGTAATTTTTGTTTTTTGGCTTTTTAAGTCTCTTCCGTTGTGTTTTTCAGTGTTTTTATGAGTAACGGTCACTTGTTGACCTGATAGGTGTATTGTGTCCAAATTTGGTGTCAATTTGTCCAGTGGTTTTTCAACTATGCTAATCCCACAAATGAACATTACATTTTTATTTATATAGATTGACCCAAACTCTTAACATTTTCCCTCTGCCCACTAAAATATATAAAGCAAGCGTCCATACCTGTTTCATCTGGTGAACTCGGGGAAGCACTATCCTGTGACAATGTTGTCCAACTGGAGTCTTCATCGCTTGGAGCTAGGTTCTGAATCCGGTGCAATGCACAATCAGTCTTTGCGCCAGTTTTAGGGTGATCCTTTTTTGTCTCTGGACTTGACGATATGGTTGCTACCTGTCCGTCTTCAGGACTCGTTGGCTTGTTGGCTTTCCGTGTCAGGGCATCCCCATTAGCAATCACAATGGATGCCTGACTGTTGCCCTGTGAAGACAGTTTCTCCTCCTCTACCACCTGGCTGTTTCCATAACTCTGATCAACGTCTCTCGTGGATGTTTCGAGGTCTGCATAGTAATTTAGGAAGCTCTTGGTCCTCCGGCGTTGTGAGGGCAAGATTTCACTACCAGAGGAATCCTGTTGGTTTGGTTCTTTCCCTTCCAACTTCTCAGAGGTTATGTTTATACCTGCAGCAGTTGTTGGAGCAGTGGGGTTTTTATTGGGATCCTGCTCCGCTGCCTTCCTCAGCTGGTTCTCTCCATTCTTTACTAGCTTGATGTTGGAGGAGTTGTTGCCCAGGAGGGGCTGCGCAGCAGGATCAGAAAGACCCATTGCCGCCTGGATGTTAGTCAGTGCATATTTTTTCCGGCACTTTGGAGGGGTGCTGCTCTTGACTTCCGTGTGCTTAATTTCAGCATTCAAGAGTTCGTTGTGGGAGGAGCGTAAGTGAAGGGTGTTGGGTGGCGTGGCAGGACCGTTCCGATTCACAATGTCAGTTGTGCTGTTGCTTGCCATAAACCCTGCCAAGGTTTCCACACCAGAGTCAACTAGGAAAGAAGCAAAAATATTTGTAAGACAATGCTTTCCACTGTAATCAACTGAGAATACATCCACCCACTGAGTAAGGAAGCAGCAGCCCATTTTACAGAGGTGGAGGGCAGAGAAAAACCTGCACAACCACTGCGTATTTCAAGATATTGCCCATTTTGCAGGGGCACTACACCACATGGAGTGCAGGTAAACAAATATGGATGGGACTTGGAAAAATAAGAGAAAAGTTTTGTTTTTTTCAAGAAAAGATGGAAAAGTTTTTATAGAAGGCTTCGTAGTTTAATCAGTTAGAATCTTTGTAGGGAATTTATAAATAATAACTATTAGGTCAGAAGGAAGAATAGAAAAACAAAGTAATAGGAAGCAAGAAGAGAACAGTATACGAATGTATTGTCGAAGGCTTTCATGGCCAGAATCACCAGGTTGTTGTAGTTTTTTTCGGGCTATATGGCCATGTTCTAGAGGCGTTCTCTCCTGACGTTTCGCCTGCATCTATGGCAAGAATCCTCAGAGGTAGTGAGGTGAGGATGCCTCACTACCTCTGAGGATGCTTGCCATAGATGCAGGCGAAACGTCAGGAGAGAACGGCTCTAGAACATGGCCATATATCCCGAAAAAACCTGCAACAACCCAGTATATGAATGTCTTTGACCCAAAGAGCGGGTAGTCAACACCAGGAGGAGGAGGGAGGGATGTAGTCAAATACAACTATTGTATAAATGTGATGTAGTATTGTACTGATCCATGTATGTATATGTGTGTGTGTGTGTTTAGATTTGTTTCGTTGTTTATTATGAATAAAAAGGTAAAGATAAAGGTTTTCCATGACACTAAGTCTAGTCGTATCTGACTCTGGGAGGCGGTGCTCATTTCCCATTTTAAGGCGAAGAGCCAGCATTGTCCGTAGATGCTTCCAAGGTCATGTAGCCAGCATGACTCCATTGAGCGCCACTACCTTCCCACAGAAGCGGTACCTATTGATCTACTCACATTTGCATGTTTTCAAACAGCTAGGTTGGCAGAAGGTGGGCCTGACAGCAGGAGCTCACTCTGCTCCCCTTGGAACGGCCAACCTTTTGGTCAGCAAGTTCAGTAGCTCAGCAGTTTAACCCGCTACACCAGGGGTCCACAAAGTTTTTAAACCAGGTCATAGTCCCTCAAACTGTTGGAGGGCCGGGTTATAATTTGAAGAAAAAAATTAATGACTTCCTATGCAAGCTGCACATATCTTATTTGTAGTGTAAAAAACACTTTAAAACAATACAAGAATTAAAATGGGTAACTATGTTAACAAACATAAACTTATTAGTATTCCAATGGGAAGTGTGGGCCTGCTTTTGGCTGATGAGATAGGATTGTTGTTGTTGTTGTGTGCTTTCAAGTCATTTCAGACTTAGGTTGACACTGAGCGAGGGCCGGGTAGATGACCTTGGAGGGCCGCATCCGGCCCCCGGGCCTTAGTTTGAGGACCCCTGCGCTACACCATCAGGGGCCCCACTTTTTATGAATATGTAAATTAAAAAATAATAAAATATATACCTGTATTTATTCGAGTCTAATATGCTATCGAACTCAATGTGCACCTCAATTTTCAAAACCCTAAAACCAAAAAAAAGTATTTGATGAAAAATTTAGCACCAAACGTAAGACCAATGGAGTGATTTTAGCATAAGTGTAATATACTCACTCCTAAATGTACCTATAACCAATCTAGCCTTTGCCTGCATTGAATTACCTTCAAAAATAGCTGTTCTATAGCAGAAATAATTGGGACCCTCCCGCTACAACAACAACAACAACAACTTTATTTCTAGACCGTACCTCTCTCCCAAAAGGGACTCAGAGTGGTTTAAAGCATAAAAACAGGCAAACATTAAGTAACAAATAACATCAGGAATAATACAAAATAATAAACAAAATTGCAATAAAGTTATAATAAAAAAATTAAATATTAAAATAGGGAATAAACCAATTAGATAATAAAATAGAACTTGTAAACATTAAACATCTATCATTAAAAACAGATATGAGTTGCATATGGCTAACACGGGTGTTTATTAAAATGTATCACAGCCATCATATAGGCAAATGGGTTCGCCAGTGTTCCAGTTGAGTATTATCTTAGTCCCCCTCCTCTCTATATGCTAAAGTGCATAAGTGCATCTTCAAAGTTTTCTTATAGGGGAGGAGGGTGGGGCTGTTGTTATTTTATTTCAACACCTCCATGGTCACGTATGTGCACAGGCAGTTCCCAGTCCAACACCAGATGCAGCTGGAAAGGCTGGCCACATCCAATTCTGTAGCTCCTCCGGCTCCCGTGGTGACACCAGATGAAGACTGTCCCCTTCTTACACTACCTACTCTCTATAGGAAAATGCATTCTCAAAAGCTGTAACTATTGTTTAAAGAAAAGATTTAGTTATAAAATGACTGTGGGTAAGAGCAGGAAAAAGCTTACAACACATAAAGCATGCCTGGTGCATGTTGACAACATTATATATGAAACAAACTCAATTCGAAAACTTTTCTCCAGCTATCGTAAAGCCTATAGAACTGCCTTTTTTTTTTTTTTTGGAAAAACTTTTGCTTTCAAAAGTTTTCAGCATAGGCAGGAGACATAATGTCAATGATACGAAGGGAAAGGAGCACAATCTGGCACTGATACCAGAGGTATATATATTCTTTTATTCGTCTTTTTTATCTGGAGATCTGTAACTGTGACATTTAAAGGTAAACTTTTTTATTCTTTGCTGCTCATTCTGCAATACACCCTCTCTGTGTACAGTCACCCCATGCTGTCTATTATCATCTCTATCCATTCTAGCAGTGGTATCAGCCCACAAGGTAGTAAGCAAGGCCTTGAGGGGACTGAATTTGAGCAAGGATTATTCAGCAGTGGCAAATAGGAAGCATATTCTAGATCTTGGAGTCCTCGTGGACAAAAAGTTAAACATGAGCCAACAATGTAAGGCGGTGGCAAAAAACGCCAATGGGATTTTGGCCTGCATCAATAGGAGTATAGTGTCTAGGTCCAGGGAAGTCATGCTACCCCTCTATTCTGCCTAGGTTAGACCACGCCTGGAATATTGTGTCCAGTTCTGGGCACCACAATTGAAGAGAGATATTGATAAGCTGGAATGTGTCCAGAGGAGGGCAACTAAAATGATCAAGGGTCTGGAGAACAAGCCCTATGAGGAGCGGCTTAAGGAGCTGGGCATGTTTAGCCTGAAGAAGAGAAGGCTGAGAGGAAACATGATAGCCATGTATAAATATGTAAGAGGAAGTCATAGGGAGGAGGGTGCAAGTTTGTTTTCTGCTTCCCTGGAGACTAGGAAGCGGAACAATGGCTTCAAACTACAAGAAAGGAGATTCCATCTGAACATGAGGAAGAACTTCCTGACTGTGAGAAATGTTCAGCAGTGGAACTCTCTGCTCCGGAGTGTGGTGGAGGCTCCTTCTTTGGAAGCTTTTAAGCAGAGGCTGGATAGTCATCTGTCTGGGGTGCTCTGAATGCAATTTTCCTGCTTCTTGGCAAAATGGGGTTGGACTGGATGGCCCATGAGGTCTCTTCCAAGTCTATGATTCTATGATAACAGGTTTTGATTTTCCCTTTACTGATACCTGACCTGTTCCAGCAATGGCGGAATGGTAAGTATATAAACGGAATGAGGATGAAAGCCTCATTGCATAAGGGAAAACATTTCCTAAATATTCCTACTTTAATGTACCTCCATTTGTGTTATACAAACCAAACCTATATCCAGACTTTTAGGTTTCCTTAAGTATCAAAATAGTTATATAATATTTCGCAGCTTGTATAAATTATGCAAATTATGGAGAATTTATTCAACTTTTCTCTTCAATAAGGGCAATGATAACCATCCAATTTACCCATGGAATATTTATTGAGGCATCACACTGGTTCTGCAATATTATCAAGAGTTCTCCACGGCTAGCTACTGCCAATTTGTTCAGAGGGCAACTGGTTGTTCATGCCTGCTCTAGACAGTCACCATCTTTTCAGGGTCAGATACGTCTTCATCACTTAAGCACTTTGTTCCCACTCTTCATACACCTTTCACAACTCTTTCGCATCAAAATGTTTATTTATTAAGAGTGTATGTGGAAGAGAAATATAGTTCTTTCCTAATTTTATTTTCAAAGGAAGTAATGCATCTTTTCAGCAATTTCCTTCCCACTGTGAAACTGTTGTTAAGTTTTCCAAACTATTCACATTTCAGGACTTAGTCTGCCAAAACAGTGCAGCAAACAACACTTTCTCCATCAGGAAGAAATATATTTTTCCCTATAAAGAAAGTATTATTATATTATTATTTCTGCAAGGAAAATATTATTTTTGCAAATAAATACTGCTTTCTGTGTAGAAAATATAGCTCCTGTGTGAAAAAAATATAAATTTTGCACAGAAAATTTTCTGAATTAGAAATATTCTCATCACTCTAGATTTTCTGACACTTAAGAGTTTCCTGACACTTGAGAAACACGTTTTTAGATAATCTGGGATGTTTTCGCATATTCTTTCCACTCTTTGTGCAGAAGCATCAAGGCTACAACATCTGACCAATAGCACCATGTTACAAAATTTGGGGGGAAAAACCTGTTCCTGGTTTGAAAGTATTATTCTCTGTTGAATTTTGCGGAACTTACTTCAAAAGTAATTGTTATACTCCAGAAACTTCTGTTTTCCTTCAGTATAGGCACCTTGTTTGTAATTTTCCTTAATGAAAATATGCAATTTTCAACCTTTCAATATGTAGACCACAACAGTTTTTGCAGTTTAATAAACTTTTTCCATGTTTTTATGATATTACTAATTAGGAAATGATATTTGTAAGATAGGAACAAAAATCGTGTTACATAGTGTAAGCATACCTCAAAACCTGAAAGTTTTAATAGAAGTAAGAGAGTTAATGTAAGTCTTAGTTCTAGAGGGTTGAGTAATCTGTAAGAAAGAGTTCATGGTTGAAAGCAATTA